GCGTTTCGTTTCTTAGTGTTTCTCGCTTAGCGTGCTGTGTCTTCGGGCATCGATGTTAATCTCCTCTTCGCGTCTAGAAATAATTTCGTCATTTTGGCATGAAATTTCACACCTTCTCAGATATTTTGTAAAAAAATTTATTCCGTTTCCTGTCAGCAATAGGATTGTCCGTTTTACATTTTTCGCGATTACTATCCTTCAGTTGACTTATTGGGTCTGTAGATCATCGGATTCGCAATGAAATGGTCGCGGGTTTTAATTCAGACCGGATCCCTGACGTTTCAAGTGGAACAGGGAAGTGAAGCGCATGAAGAGGTTGATCAGTATGAGTGTTTCGGCTCCACAGTAGCACCTATCAACCAGAGTTACATAGGAGGATCGTCCCAGCCTCAAGTACCTTTGAAAACCTGGTCAGTGTATGGCTTGAGAAAGGAGTATTTCTTTCGACCGAAATCCGCTTGTTCCTTCCATCTTTTTGGTCATTGTTAATGTACGATATGAAAGCAGTTGTCCCAACAAAGGAGCCGCGCTGGATTCGACGCATAATGATGGTTAAATGGCATGACTACTTAAGTAATGACTCCGTTTTCTTCCAGGCACAGGTGACCAGAACAGATGTGATGGACAAACTGTTTGAGACGAAACTACTTCTTCTAGCTCGCGAACTTCTCTCGTGCGAGCCGAAATGCGGCGAAACCGACCAAAAGACTAGCATGCAACTTGAACGGTCAGCACTGTTCTTTCATTGCGGACAGTGTCTGCAGCTAGATTACCACTTTGGCGTAGTATTCCTCCGCTTTTTCTCCTGTTCAACTCACTTCTCTAACTTGGACGAAAGGCTAGTGACCCTGCTAGAATTCGATTCCCCGTTTTTGCTGATGTTTATTTATTGTTCACGTCGACGGTATTTTGTTAAGAGTCGCCTCGCAGTAAATGAACGCTTCTGTCCTTGCTTCACTATGAACGGATGTAATTTTGTTGGCTTTAAAGAATGTCCATTTATCTTTTGTTAACGTCTTCTTTATCTGTAGACGCAGTCAGGAGGAAGAAGCGAAGGGCTCCACAGAACGCTTGCATGCTTTGTAACACGTCATCAAGCAGTGAGTTCGAATGCGGCGAGCTGAAGCACGATAAACAGTCCGGTCTGTGCGCCCACGAATTTTGTCTGGTGCGTTTTGTGCGTTTCATTTTTGTCATATAGTTTGTTCTATGCTTCGCCACAATATTTCATCCAGTGATACCTTGTTTATATTGTAGTTGTTTTCATCCGGTATGCGGCAAAATGCAGACCCGTCCGTGGGAATCAACGGTTTTGAGGCAAAGCAAATCCGACGAGAAAAGATGCGTGGCGGAAAGCTGGTGAGTGCGTTTGCCTTTTGTCATTCTCTGTTCTTTCCGTCTTTGCGTTCTTCGTGCATTCGAGTATTAATACCGACGAAAACGTTCGATGTTCGCTGCTGTCATCAATCCTGCTAGTTATACACATCCTATAATCGCAGCCGGCCACGATGAATCACCTGCGGTTGCAGGCCATCGCTTGACCCCTGAACTCCATCGACTCAAGAACCATGATTAGACAGTGCTCCTAGCTGGAAGTAAATCTGCCTTGACTAACTGAAAATCAACTTTATATATTCGCACATGGGACAAAAATTCCCTTGATGTTACAAATCCTCTTTTGCCTCTTTTGATGACGTTCAATTTTGACGAAAGATTGCGTTATTTATTTCAGGAATCTCTCCTTGTGGCTATGCGATACATTTATCCATTCTTCGCTAGAGATAGTTATCATGCACTCCAAACTTATCCATCCACGGGGATGCAAGAACCCAACAGGATGATTCAGGGGCCTCGGCCAGGACACATGTAGCAGTTTAGCAAGAAACAGTTAGAACGTAAGCAGAATGGATGTCCACGATAATGGTAATGGTGTTTTCTTTATAATACATTTTAAAAATTCATCTTTAGCATCATAATTAGAACCATGATTGCCGACCTACCTCTGTTGTTTCACCTCTGGCCTGCATCTGTTGTGCTCAGATCTTTGTAACGTTTGAATTCGAATGCTAATGAAGACATCGGCTTGCACGTAAGTTTTTAGGTGGGATTACAGTATTTCGGCAATCGATACTCGCAGTTTACACCTTCGCTCTCATCAGAAAATGATGAGAGATACATCGATGCCCCGCAGATCCTAAATACCATGGTTTCCTCCATTTAGGAGTAAATCGAGAGTGTTTTAGCGCCATGAAACTTTTTTGGTGGAGTTATACATTTGTTGGTGAAATAGAAACGTGTATCAGGGAATGCGACTGGTGACGAAATTTTGTTCTCTGTGTCACCAGCTTCCACCAAGTGCTTACTGGTTTTGCCTGCCGTCGAACCGCTGAATCGCTCGTCTTTTTTGTCCTTGTCAGAATCGAAAGGTTTGAAATGTGAATATAATATAACAGTACATTTCAGAGGTCTCCTATTAATTGAATTGGCTGATTAATGGAATCAAATCAGCTTCTCCCATTGTGAGTCGAGTAGATCAAACTGTTGCATCTGAATCATATTCAGATTGATATACTTGAATAAATTGTCCGTCACTTGTATACCAGTTTCTCTGTGATGCGGCAAAGAAAGATAAGGATCAGATTGGCCATTTTCAGAAATGCACTTATTGCGGTAGACGAGGCGCCACGATCGGCTGCTGTGTGCCCAGTTGCAAAACTAAGTTTCATCTCAACTGTGGTCGGCAGAATGGCACGTTTCACAACTTCTTTGGAAACTTCAGGTAATGATCGTGAAATACGTACTAGCAGCATTCGATATTGAACAAATATTTTAGTTCTTATTGTCCGAAACACGCCCCATCGCAAAAGAAGATTCCTAAAAGCGGTCGCCTTGCGTTCACCGGCGTCGGCATGACGCGTTGTCCGCTCTGTCTGGATGTGGTGCCCGCTCGTGCCAGCCGCACGGTCATTCGCTCTTCTTGTTGCACGAAGGCGTGGTACCACTGGAGTTGCATTCAGGTTGCTTGTTGTACAGTTTGCAGCATTTATGGATGAGCACAAAATCAGGGGCGCGGTGGCACATTGGTAAATAGCCCGGCTTCGAACTTGGGGATGGGAGGGGGCGGGTTTGAGTCCCGTGAAAGGACAAAATTTTTCCTAAGTGCTAATTCACAACACGTTGCTTCGGTGCAACTAGGCGAGAAACGGGTAGCAAATGGTTTACTTACAAGTAATTGGAGCTGCATGGTGCTTTAATATAGTCATGCTAGAGATTGCTTCGCATGCTGTCGAGCTGCAGTTCGCTTGACCCGCCTGACAGTGGACTAACGTTCAGCGTAAGGCGTAGCCTATACATAAAAAAGCAAATGTGAAATTCCGGGCGACATCAGTAAGTTCGTGTCATTAGCAGAAGTTCAGTGGTTCGTCTGATATCCATCCGCGAAGTCGCGTATTAGTCTTTCCCGTAAGCTGCCGCCGTATTCAAAGTCTCGTTCTTTACACAAAATATGCTGGTGACAGGGCAATTTTTTTCTTAAACTGCACAGTAAGCGCTGGTTTGGGTGTTTCTTCAAGGATAAGATGGTGGATTGGGTGGTAACCGTTTGTAAATAGCGCTGTGCCGCATCCGGCAAGTTCAACTGATGTATTTTTTAGAGCGCAGGACCGTGTCGTGAACTGCGGTAAGAATTATATGTACCTTCACAGTGGCACACCACGCCACGACTGTAAAAGATCTGAATCTCACCATCGACGATTATCCCGGTGTTGTTGAAGCTTAGATGAATGTATTGGCTTCCACTGTCGTTTTTCTATAATCACGTATGTCGTGTGTAGTACCCTTTCCCTCTTTGCGACGTGCTTTCTTCTTCTACTCCTCAGTCAGGAATAGCGGTTGCGGATTAGTTGTCTAGTGAGACTTTAGGCCAGTTTGTTCAAGTTCAAGTCCAGTGAACGTGAAAATTTCACTTTGAAATAATTTGTACGA